AAACAGGAGATTGCGAGTTCGAATCTCGTCGGTGCCTTAATTTGTTTTGTTGTTTCTATTTGTTTACATTGGCATTTACAAAGTCGAGAAACCCTAAAATTTGGTGAAAAGTTTTGCCAACACGAGAAACTTGGCAAATCATGCCACGAAAGTTAAAACTTTTTTTATAAACATTAAAAATTTTAAATACTTACATCATAAAGAATGATAAATGTAAATAATGCAAAATATATAGATCTCCTTACTGAAAATTATTACTTTATCATCAGATTTATGCAAACGAGTAATAAAGAGAAGGAAACAGTTGCTTAATATTATTTATCCCTAAAACCTGACATCGATCGTCAAGCGCGGCTACCTTGTAAACGACGTTTGACGTTCACGTTTTAGAGATGCAAACTTAGGCCGCAACCTCGCTAATATCATTCTTACACCTAAAGTCACTATATTACTTTTACTTTGGATACGTTCGTAGTGTTATTTCGTTAAAATCGTACAATTATAATTGACCATTACCGTAACGCGATCACATTGTGTATCGATTCACAGAGCTTTTCCTCTTCGGTTTGAAATAGTATTTACGAACAGAGAATAATTTTACTGTGTTGAAGTTTGTAAGGAACTACGCTTTTAGCCACAATCTGGAATCAGACTACTGAAATAAACTACAAAATGCAATTTTCTTGCGAAAATTGTCTAAAGTGTTATGTCAACCACATTCCAGTTACAACGAAGTCGTTAGAAATAGAAAAAACAAATAGAAACAACAAAACAAATTAAGGCACCGACGAGATTCGAACTCGCAATCTCCTGTTTACAAGACAGGCGCTTTAACCAACTAAGCCACGGCACCACTCGATCATATTACTTTCCGCGAGCATTTCGTTTGTAGATAGAATGGAATTTTCTAAATGTTATCATTTCTGTTTAAAGAATCTTTTTGTATTATTAATTATAAAAATTAATTGTCATTAACGAGCTACAATATTCTACAAGGAATGGCTGTGACCTGTGTACCTTACGTAATGGCGGTAATTTCGAACAATATCTGTTACGCGTATAACTTCGTATTATTCGTTTTCTGGTAAGTACGATTTGCTCACGCGTAAGGTGAAGGTTTTTTCTAAAGAAAGAGTGTTTGAGTAAGATATCGGGAGTCATAAAACAAGACTGGTTGGTTTAAGGTTATGATTCACGCTTACGATGCGAGAGTTCGGCGAGAAAATCGAAAAATTCAAAAAATTTGGATATTGTTTTGTATGCATGTATGTTGGAGAGTTAGTGTTTGTTAATCGGTTTTGTTTACCACCTTTCAAAGTTAATGACTCCCGTGCTTTTCGTCAAAATTTCCTGAAATTTGGTAGGGAAATTTGTGTATTATGGGAATTCATAATACTGTATTATATTTTGTTCATTAAAAATTGAAAAAGTGAGGCGATACAAGGGTCGTGTGTCTTATCTCCTGAATGATTGAAATTAATGACGACTTTACTCGGTATTTGCATTTACTGGTTTTTTTATTATAAAACTCATTCAGCTATTCAATGATTTGAAAATTGTAGAATGTATCTGATAATAACATTTAATTTTTATAACTCAGATTGTGACATGTGATCATTAAAAAGATGTCAAACTGCAGTCATACGTGTGTTTTTTATATTAAAGGACTGGTTGCTCGGTTGCTGAACTATTTCATTGCATTCTGTATGTCATTTCAACACTTATAATCGCTTCACTTATATTTACTTCTTCAGACTGGTGTGTGAGATATAAAGGTTGTGGAGTTCGAATCTCCTGAACCAATGGTTCGATATTTTTTAAATTCTACAAACCTTTCGTAAATCCAACCTTCGTTAAACATTTGATACGTTTTTGAGAAATGTACAGCAGTTATTAAAATTCAAAATAAGAGAAAAAGGTACGTGCCTCTATACACATTAACATACATAGCCATAAATACAGTGTAAACGCTCAGCATTATTGTTTTTAAAAGTTCAAAAGTCTTTTGTGTCCAAAAATATAAAAGACTTTATTGTCTATTTTATTGCAATAACTTTCTTCTGTTATAAGTTATAACTGCCGGAAAAGTAACATTCACTTATTGTTATTTTTTATCTGACTAAGAATCATTTTTCCCATATCTATTCTACTCTCTACGCGACTTGGAATATTTGAAAATTGATTACATACAAGTAATACTCTGCTTAACATCTCTGACTTCTTGTAAAAAATTATACATGAGAAATGAACAGAAAGCGTATTTTCTAATAATATTAAAATATATTTTATTGTATTTTCATATATTGAAACGATGTTTACTTTCTATTTCCTACTCTTTACGTTTATAATCTTACTCTTTTTCACTAAGACCTGCTATATGAAATACTTAATACAAAACTGTATAAATAGTATGTATGATAATTATACTGCAATAGTTTACAAACTAACTTTAAGCATTTTTTCTTTACATCAAAAAAATCTGATAGTTGGTAGGCCTATATTTTTAACTTTATCAATTTCAAATAATTATTAAATTAAATTATATTCAAATTCAAATTTAAAATCAACGTTTATTAGTAAATGAAGCATTTTTGTTAATACTAACATAAATTAAAGAAAGTATTTCATTACATAACTTAAATATACATTAATTTAACATATTTATTAACAACACAATTTAACACTTACATAAAAAAAAACTTAATAAGAATATAAACAGGCCAGTAAAGTAAGGAAGGAAAATCTAAACATTTTTAATTAAGTTTGCATTAAACACAACCGAAATATGTGATATAGATTGAAACGTATGAAATCTCTGACTATACAGTATAATATGTAAATGATAATATTACATAATCCGATTTTATTTTATTTATGATTTGCAAACAAATAAACTGAACTAGTACCAGAAAGTCGAGAATGAGTGAAGTTAAAGGATTTCATTAGTTATAGGCAAACAAGATTATACGTATCCGAAAATTGTTAAATGTATGTATCGGTTATACATAAATCATAGGGTAATATATGAAGTTCTCGTTAAAGTTTAATTATTCATTGAGTCAATAATTATAAAAGTAGTAATGCTATAATGGTTTTATGACTAACTAAACAAAATCTTAGGCTGTTTATAAGTTAGAAGTGGGTCAAATGAAAACGTAATTATGTCAATTGTACTAAAGAAAATGTCTTCTTTAACAATTGATAATCGAAAGTGAAAGTAATGAATATTATAATTTCATTATAAATATTTTTGGATGATTGTCGCCAAGTTTTTAAAATAAGATATGTAATTTCGAAAATAGACGTGGCTCGAAATATTAGAGGAAACATTAAAATTTGTTTCTAATTATTTAAACGCAGATAATTTTTATATGAGAAATAAATTGATTTAAGAAGTGATCTGTGGACGACCAAAACAATTCCTTTAGTATCATTGATTAAAGGTATAGGTCAACCAATATATGTCAATGATATTGCTACATAATAAACGAAAAATTTAATTATTGGGGAAATATGGTAGCGTAATGGTTTTTTCTCTTGTGCTGACATTGCGAAAAAGGTATGAAACAACCCCAAAGCATAGCAATCACATTGTGAAAAATAACTACATAGCTCATGGAAATGAAATTGAAATTAATCAGGGAATTAAGGAAGAAAAAAGAATATAAGAAATAGCATTATTCTGAACGACAGATTCATTCTGTATTGATATTTCGACAATTGTGCCTCTAAATGTTAATCTTTTTACTAATCGATTTTCATCAAGGAAAAAGTTTGTAAGTTAGAAAATTGCTTTCACACTACACAGGCAACGTTTTAAAATTTACTATAGGCCTCTCTCTCTCTCTCTATATATATATATATATATATAGATATATGTTATGAATAATGTCATTAANCATGTTTTGGAAATGTTGAGTCGGATTAGTCTAGAATCGATTAATTTTATGAAATAAAACCTTTCAAACAGCCATATTCCGTAAACTTCACACGTGTCAGGCTGTAATTGGCTGTGATTCTTACAAAATTGATTTTTAAAGAACGGAACGTATCTACGTCTTATAGGGGAATCGACTGTATTTTCATATATTGAAACGATGTTTACTTTCTATTTCCTACTGTTTACGTTTATAATCTTACCCTTTCTCACTAAGCCCCGCAATATGAAGTACTTAATACAAAAGTGTATAAATAGTATGTATGATAATTATACTGCAATCGTTTACATACTAACTGTAAGCACTTTTCTGTATATCAGAAAAATCTGATACTTCTTATATTTTTAACTTTCTTAACATCAACTTATTATTGAATTAAATTATATTCAAATTCAAATGTAAAATCATCGTTTGTTAGTAAAAGGAAGTATTTCATTACATAACTTAAATATACATTAATTTAACATATTTATTAACAACACAATTAAACACTTACATAAAGAAAAAACTTAATAAGAATATAAACAGGCCAGTAAAGTAAGGAAGGAAAATCTAAACAGTTTTAATTAAGTTTGCATTAAACACAACCAAAATATGTTATATATACAGAAACTTATGAAATCTCTGACTATAGAGTATAATATGTAAATGATAATTTTACATAATTCGATTTTATTTTATTTATGATTTGCAAACAAATAAACTGAACTAGTACCAGAAAGTCGAGAATGAGTGAAGTTAAAGGATTTCATTAGTTATAGGCAAACAAGATTATACGTATCCGAAAATTGTTAAATGTATGTATCGGTTATACATANTGTATATTAACTCTTAACAAATTCGGCAGATGGTCTTCGCCAATTTTTGGCAGTCATCGCAGCTGTAATCCGTTGTTTTTTATTGGTTCCTGCGCAAAGTTCATGCACCCGTATCTCATATTGTGTGCATTTGATCATACTTTCTTTTACGTCTTCTTGGCATAATTTACAGTACCAACTGATATTTTCATCTCCCTGTTTTTTTTATTCTCCTTTTGTGATATTTTAGTAGTTTCGCTTTTCTTCAAACCAAGATTCTTTTATACGTTTTTCTTCTTGCAATTCCAAGAATACCATGTAGTGGAGAAATTATTTCAAATGTCGCTCGAACTGTCTCTGTATTAGAAATGTTTACTTTCATACCTAAAGAACATTCCTTCGCTTTCTCTTCTAGACATTGATCTCGCTGTTTTTCCGAAGGGTGAGTTGTCGGTACCTCAGGAAGTTGTGGGGACTCAACTTCTTCAGTCTGTTCTCGCTCAGTAGTCTGATTGGATTGTGCCATACACGTTAAAGTATCTGTTTGTTTTTGCCGCCTTTCAGTTGCCAGATTCTGGGAGACTTCTGCCGATTCACTTAGATTGGCATCTTCGTCAAGAACAACATATTCCTCATGCCCGATCTTAAAGCGATTGCAAGTCCACAATCCGCAAGATTCGAAGCCATGCATTCCTGTGTCCATACAAATGGCTCGAGGATATGCTTTATTAAGGAACCAGGATGCTTTGCATCTACGATGCGCAAGCAGCACTAAAATTCAGTTTTAGTGATTTGAAAAATGACCTATTTAGTCTATTCATTGATGTATATTTAGTCCTTGTAACTGTCGTCTAAATGTCAATTACGGTACATTATATACACTAAAACTTCGTTAAATTATAAGGTCTTGTCTTTATATTTTTTAATCGGTTCTTTCATATTTTCTTTACTCCAAGAATTATATTTTCTTTTTGACACGTTGTTCTAAAATTAAAGAAGATTAATTTTTAATTGGTTTTGAACTTTTGCAGTTATTTTTTAAATCAGAAACTTAAAAAAAATAAGTTTACGAATCGGTAATACTTTATTGTGACATTCATCTAAAATGGTTTTCCTAAATCGTACCAGTACGTTTTAAGAACATGCCTGGAGTACGAAATAGGCGCGAGAGTCAAACAAATTTTACATTAGTCGTCAAAAAATTTGACAACAGATACGCATATTTCATCACTTCGGATGAAATCACAAAAATACGCACTAATACATCACAGATAGTTAAAAAAACTTACATACGATCCAATTTGAAGAAATTTCGTACGAAATGTTTTTGCAACATTTCGTACGAAATATTAGAGAAAAAGTTGAAAAAACTTTCCTTTTCAATATTTTTGTCGAGAGCAGAGTAACAGCGTGTTGTCTGTCAGATGGTAATATGACCGATTGTTATTTACTTCTTTTGCTACTAGAGACACTAATAGCTATTACGGGAGTCAAGATATAAGCGAAGTACGAATTAGGCGCAAGTACGAATTAGGCAAGTTTCCCCTAGACTGAAACAGATATATTATATAATTAGAAATTGGTTAATGGAATTATCAAAATCAACAGCGCCTTCATTATAGGTGTGTTNCGTAGCGTGGCGTTATATTTTAATTAGTAGACGTTATCGAAGCGAGAAATGGCATATAGAGGGCGTGGTGAATCTATTAAATCTAATATAACAGAGTTAATTATATTGAACTCGCTTATTTATTAAGTGCGTTAGATAATCTATTAATTAAAAAATACATTTAGAGAAGTCTACGGTTTTTACTGGCTTACCGATCAAACGAATACGAATGGAAGGAACCTGGACCATCACTGACTGATTTCCCTGGAAGTCGGCTTCTTACAGAAACACAGCTTCCTAATCATCAAATGTCACGGCACGCCACTGGTATTGTATAATAGCAATATCATTAACATATATTGGTTGACCTATACCTTTATTCGGTGATTCTATAAGAATTTTTTGGTCGTCCTCTGATCACTTATTAAATCAATTTATTTTTCATATAAAAATTATCTGCGTTTAAATAATTAGCAACAAATTTTAATATTTCCTCTAATATTTCGAGCCACGTCCAGTTTCGAAATTACATACAGTAGAGCCTCGATTATCCAACCCCCGATTAACCGACACCTCGGTTAACCGACCATCCTAGTCGGCAAATTTCAAATGTCCGCTAGTGATGTGCTACAATATTTGGCTATGTCTTGGCTACTTTAATATTATTTTTACGCGTTTTTGCTGGCAACACTCATTCGACCATCAAAGGGAGCCAGTATTTATACGAGGCTTAATTTTCTAATTTTTAACGATACAATAGCGACGATTATTATTTTAAAAAATATTTGATAGATGCTTAACATGGAGGAAAATTCAACGCGAAGTACATTAATAACGATATACTAATATACTAATTACATGGGATATAATAATATACTACACTAATAATGGATTTTTTCATACTTTTCGGTTATCCGACTTTTCAATTATCCGAC